CTTCGGTCATTCTTGGGTGCCGGTACCCAGTTTTTAAGGTTTATACCATCCAAAGCAACACACCGAGATCCGCTTCATCAACTCCTACGTAAAAACCAAACTTGGAATTGGAACCAGATACATTAAAAAGCTTTCAGGCCGTAAAACAGCTTTTTGGTATAAGCATATGTTATTGTGTATTACGACCTGCAAAAGCCTGTTATTCTGTCCTGGGATGCTTCACCAAACGGTCTTGGAGCCCTTTTACTACACAAACTACCGGAGGGTTACATGTGATCCATTGCCTATGCCACAAGAACACTGACAGCAGCAGAACAAAACTAGTCGCAGCTTAATCGAGAGGCGGCAGCTGTGATCTACGGAACTATCCGATTTCACCAATATTTACTTAAGCGACCTTTCGCGATCTAGACTGATCGAAAATGTATTATTTCCCATCATGACCAAGAGAAGGGGATTCAACAAATGGCTTCATCCAGAATGATTCGTTGGTCCCTCATTCTATCTGCATATAGATATAAAGTCCAGTACGTTCCCGGCCGGCAAAATACCACAACTAATGTTCATAGTAGACTTCATTTAGTAAAGCTACCTCCGGATAAATTTACTCCACAAGAGCTGGTAAACTTTGTCCAGCATCTCAATGATTCCCCGGTCACGTCAATAGACATCCGTCAGCAGACTGACGGAGATCTAGTTTTATCACTGGTGAAATGCTACGCTCATGACGGATGTCCAAATAACACATCCAAAAACCAATGCTTTTCCTTAATTGGTTGTTTGAGTTCAGCCTCCAGAACGGATGTTTACTATGGGGTGCACAGGTTATAGTCCCCAAAAGATTTCGGTCACGTATCCTGGATGAAATACATGATACGTTTGCAAACTTTTGCCTCTGAAACATACGTAGCCAGCCGACTGAATTTGTTTACCTACTCCAGCCAGGCGACATCTGCGGGGTCTTCGGCGAGGAACGACCAGGTTGTGGCACCGACGAGTTGCACTAATCGTTCGTAGCATGTGATGGTTCGCGCCTTCTCATGGTCCGCATCTCGGTATCCTGCATAGCAAATGAAGTTGAAACTAATAACTGCATGATAACTGCGAACTAACGGGCAGTTTACAAACATAGCATCAAGCAAATGTTCTTCGTTGATAAGCACCAAATCAAGCACAGATGGCCTAATGCATGCTGGGAACCGACTGGGTGAAGTTACATGATTATAAAGCGGAAAACTGATAACAAGCTGCTGCAGGTCGGCTTTAAATTATTTTCCGCTCTTGGCAGGGATTTCTAAACAATGCACAGTGGAACCACCCACGGTCAAGATATGAGGGTATCTTCCTTTTAGAGTTCGCCGTAGGGCAGTCGCCATTTGATAGTCCGTTTCAGATGTAAAGTTAGTGGCTGGTACACCAAGGCTATAGAGCTAGTACCTCCGACATCTAATTTCAGGGGCCCCAAAGCGAATAAGGAATCAGCGAATCTGAATCCCCCATAACCGCGCACTGTAAGTCGCTTTGGTAATACAGCATTGCGCCTCCTCCTTTTGTCAGTCTGTCGTTCCGAATGAGTGATCTGCCAGGCAGCGACATTTCAGCGTCAGCCATTTCAGTGTGTAACCAAGCCTCCGTGATGCCGATGATATCGAATTTCTGGGAAAGTTGGCGATCTTTCATTTCGTCCAGCTTATTGAAGAGGCTTTGAGCATTCATGTACAAGCAGGCTGGTTTATCGATCTCTAGTAGACCACAGTGGGTCAAGGAAGTCAGGTGTGTGTGAGTGCCGACTGAGGTGAGGTCGGCCGTTATTCGCTTTTTGATGAGACAATGACATCAATTCCTTAGCTTGCTCTAGCCAAGGAGCCTCCCAACCCTTATCTAGATCTACGTCAGTATCGGATAAGGGATCAATCATCACAGGTACGTCTGTTTTTTCGGATGTTTCTGTAATTGGAAGTTGTGAAGTCCGGATGGAATGGTTTTTCGATTTTTGCGGCAACTATATAACACACACGTCGTTGCTTGCTCGAATTGAACCATGAGTTTTAGGATTCTCGCGCCACCTCCTCTATAATTTAGTGAGAGCAGTAACCTTTTGAGCGATCGTGTCACAACATTATCCAAGGAAAGGGTTTCGCGGATGGCTTGCTATTAATCTACATCGTAATTTTTGACCACTTGACTATCGTGTGAAAGAAGCAGATGCAGATACTGTTTGGGCTAGCAGGCTTGTTGTATCCTTTTTCGGGGTTTCTGTTCGACTGTTGCATGTTCCACGGAACTGCAGGTAAGATACGCATACTCAAACACAATCCATGTTGCAGCGCGCTTGCGGAGAGCATGACGTTTTCCACCGCTGAGACTTTGTCGTTACACTAATAAGTTTGCGCTCACCAAAGTGTGTACAGTTGGGGTGACGAGTGTTTCGTAGCATGTTTGTGGGTTTGCCTTTTATGTTCATCAGAAAGCACCGTGACTCACAAAGGTTTAGATCGTCGGACAATTTATATTGTAATGTGTTAGCCCCCGATTCGGGTACATTAGAGCCCACGACAGTCAGGACACAATTATTAGATCCCATTTTCGTCGAGTTGTGAGCTTTAGGAACCGTTCGTCTTGACTTTCTGCCATGCGATGCTTGTTTATTTTTTGTCTCTTTATTCAAGTTAGCGGTGTTCGTAACATCAGAGACTGAAAGCGTGGCCTCACGGGTGAACTCTGCAGCAATCACGGCATATGTCCTTGAGGTCCTGGGGGACGTAGGCTTGACAACTGACCCCTGAGCTGCATATGCTGAGGGTTGCTGTCCGGATAATTTGTCTTTTTTACATACAAACGTCAGCAAGCCTGGTTAGATTTGATTACTCACACGTTTAGGTTGGTGCCTGAGCTTAGTTGCCACGGGCACCGTGTGCCTCCCGAAGTTACAGTAACTTACCGCCAGGTGTTCTGTCAAAGATGGGAAGACAAAGGCGAGCGGGACCTGGCTGATCGTGGTTCAGGAACAACAAGTTGTGCACCATTCCTTTAACCGAATGTTCCTAGGTTTAACTGGTTCATACTTGCTTCCAACGTGATGATCTTAATGTTTATCCCCTGTTTGGCTTTTGCTACCAAACGGTTGCATTGTTGGACGAGGACGAACATACAATTGGCAAACGGGATGGTTAAACAGGTAGTATAGAACCAAGCAGCACCTTGAGAGCTATTCATCACTTGCACCTAATGTTGGGATAAGCTAGCACACTTTGCATGGTATCACTTGGAACAATTCGAGCAAGCTAAAATCAGGTTGACTAATCGCGTGTATTCTCCTGACCCGCAAACACCCTTTGCCTGAAGCCCTTTTTGAGGTGCACTTACTCGATGTTTGGCATAAAGTCTGGGGTCGTTACCTAGGCCAGTGGAATGACCGACGACTTCTCGGAGTTACTTGGCAGTATGTATCGGCCAAGCGAATGTTTATATTGTAAGCGGTCGATAGAGTTCATTGGGCAACGCGTCGGTCACAGAGTATGCATTTGCACTAGTTGGCAAGGTCACAACCACATCCAAAATGGCGGACTCGGATAACTATTGGACCAATCACTGAGCTCTCGAAACCAGCCATAGAATATTCACCAACTTAGTATATGTTGAAAAATAGGAAAGAGAAAGAATATTGGTGAACAACTCACACAGAAAACACGTATAAAACAGTAATCCGGAGACAATAGTGGCAACCAAAACACAGCACTTCAAACATCCGCGGCGTCCGTGGACATAGTCAACATATGCTAAGAACAGCACTGCACGGCCTGTTCATACTTTCGGGAATCGTCAGCAGTGCACATTCCAGCTGACTTATGTAGTGCTCGAGCTCACAATTCAACTGTTGTCAGTCTATGGTTGAGACCACTGAGCTAGGGGGACGGCAACGACCATCGTGCCTAGGTTGATAGATGTGATATTGCGCCACTCACTATTCACTGACTTACACTGATGGAATGCGCACTGCTGACGATTTCCGTAAGGATTAAATGGCCGTACAGTTCCTTCTGGGCGGGTATTGGCTGTCTGACTGAGTTTAAATGTGATGAAAATTTACCTACACCATTCAACTCACCCCACTATTCATTTTTGAATAGTTATCAGACCAAACTGCTTATAAAACCATAAGTTAATTGGCAGCTTACGTTTGGTGAGTTTGTGGCTTGGTGAAGGGCTGCCCTTTGCTGTGTGCAAGGATAATTTGCGTCATTGACAGTGAGCGTCGCTACACCACATCTAGTAACTTGGTCACCACGGTCGTTGCCGTCCACAGTAGCTCATTGGCCTCAACCACAGAGTAACAACAGCCGAGTTGCGGGTTCGAGCTCCACAGGGATCAGAGTGAATGCGTAATACTGACGCTTCATCAAGGGATGAAACTGCCGTACAGTTCTTTTCTAAACTTGTGGTTGCGGTTTGGCTGAGATTAGATGTGATGAAACTCTACCTACGCCATTCAATTCCCCCAATATATCATTGTAAATGGCGTATTTTCAATCCTAATGGACAGGTTACATTTTTCTATTATTGTAGCATGCCGTAGCTCTTATCTCCATCGCTTGTTTGCAGTGTACTTTCATATAAAGCTTTAGTTGTCTTTATACTAACCTCCACTTTTAGATAGAATACAAGGTTAACTGAAATTTCGTTGGCATCTTGTAAGAAAAGTTCAAAGGTTACACCCCATCAGGTGGATAATATATCGTTAACTATTAGCCTATGGAATTCATCTTGTTGTTCGCATTGCAATCAACTATGAAAACCTACCACTAGGTACTGGAACGTTTTTTTACAAATATGTCAGTGTAGCCTAACATTTAACAATTTAGCACGAGTGCTGTGAAACCGAAACTCGTTACAGCTCATGCACCTTCCTAAAACTTAAAAATAATGTTCGAAGGCCGTAGAGCGACGAAAAGAATGGATTTAGCCCCAGTAAACGTATGCCTGAAAAACTTTCATCTCACTCTGTTGGCCAAGGCTCTGCTTTGGTAGCGCAGAAACGACTCTGCTTTGTGCACCGGCATAAAAGAGGTAACTCCTTCAGACATGATGGCTTCAAATTCACCTTTGGCCTTTCGTAGCTCATCCATTCTGATAGCATTTGTGGTCAATACAGCCTTAGTATACTATAAACTGGGATAAAGAAAGCTCAGTTTACCCGATAATTCTGTAATATCACCTCACATTTGTCCATGAACGCTTTCATCTCTGATTTTAGTAGTTCGCGTTGGGAGAAAAGTATATGACATTTCTGTTGAGCTGTTATTGTTCGGTGCCGTTCTAACACAAAACTTTTGGACTGACGGCGTAGAGTTTGGTGTCGGGCAGTAGCTTCAGAAAACGCTTGTTAAGATGCTATGTTGTCTGGAATACCAAACTCACATAACTCGGACGGTTCCATTAGTGGCATTGTTCTCGCAGAAAACTGCCGAAAGATTTCATTTTCAATGTTAAGCATTTCTATTGCTCTTCTGGAATTAGTATTTTAGTTCCTAGTAAGTGAAGCGTCCCACCTTTTCTGGCGTATTGCATTCATATATTCCTCCGATCTGGTTCCTTGACTGCTAGCTTTTGAGATGGGTGGGCAGGTACCAACCGGAACAGGCGAAAGCTGTCGCGATTTGCAACTGGAGCTCATACTGTCCTGGAAGTAAAGTGGAGTGGAAGATGACTCGAATGGTTGCGAGTTTTCCTTCAAAAGCTTGTTTTTACTTCTGCATATACCGAATGTTGCATAAATAAGTAGGCAAATGGGAGCACTGCGATGCGAGCTTATTTCCTGAAAGTTTAGTTAAAATTTTATCGCCAATCTTTGAAGCGTAGACTGCCAAACAGATGTTAAAACAGTCCTGACAAACAAAGTATCTCAAGTGGTTGGAAATCTACACTGTTATTACTGTTACTAAGGTAATCAATAGAGAGATGGTGGAAAACCGGCATATTGATGGAACATAACATTTGTGCTGCGGATGTAAGATAGAAAACTTTTTGGCGTTATTAGACTGAAAAACGTGGACCTGAGTCTGAGGCTGTCACTAGAAGCCGGATGAAGCCAGCCCTGTACGTTCAGAAACAATTGTGTCAATCTAAACCTGACTGGACATACGGTGGAACATGCGTCATTCGTTCGACACCTCAAGCTTGTCTAGTCACACTCAATGTTAGTTATAACCATGCATACCGGTTATTGTTAATTGTACTGAGGAGACAATACGAACTGCATGCAACTACCAGCCTTCGTCTTCTGTCCATGCTTTTCAAATTGTTGAAGGGAACCAACTGCTTTACATTTGCATTATGATGGTTTCTGCATCAAAACGAACTAAGGACAGCACACAAGCAGCTGGCAATGTTCGATAAAATTATTAAAGAAAAATATTGATCTCAACGAAGTAAACATGAACACGAAACTTCAAGCACCGCAAAAGAACATACCATTAGGTAACCCCTTAATAAGGTTAACGACGGTAAAGATGGAGGGTGCCAGATTACTTCGCGATCAAATTGACAAATTAGTGTTAGGAAGACGAGTGATCCCATAATCAAACAAGGCTGTACTTATGCATCAGAAACAAACGGGTCAGACTTCCACTGTTTAAAGTGTACAAATGGTTATTCTTCTAGTACATTTCGCCAAAATATACAAAAACAACTGGAAGGTACTTTAAACCAGTGTTGCAAACCTAAAACATGTACCGCTGTACAAATTCAACAAACCAGTCCCCAGTGACAGTACAGTCTACTCTAATCCACAAGAATGCAATTTGTGTTATTGGCTGTCGCTAACTGAGGACTCCGACCAAAAATAAAGGTACGTACCAGCTAAGGTGAATGAAAAATCCGCACTGCTGTGTATTTGTACGGTCGAGATAGTGATGAATATACGCAATCAGGCTTTATGTCGACGCGCTGTGAGATGAAAGCTATCTACTATCCGAGGTTGAAATGACGTATTGTAAAGGGAAAATGAAAGATTCATATCGTTCCGACGGAATATCATCAAAGCCGCTTTGCAGAGAGGTGACTGGTTCCTTTTATACAGAATGCATGAACACAGCGCCTCGTCGCCGTATAGTCAATGCAGAAGTCATCGTTGGCCAGCTTACACCTTAGTTTTCGACAATTTTCCCGGAGTTAGTTACGCTGTCATGGTAAATAATTTAAATAAGTAAAACAGAGCTGGGAGTTTCTCTATTGTTTTCCCTATTAACGCTATCTACGACCCGTAACGTCCTCATCAGGTGAAGATAGCCTGAGAGCTTGACACAGCAGTTAGAAGTTGAGTGTTGGGTTTCGCATAAATCAACTTCCAACTGAAGTGTCAACCGCTACTTGCGGATCTCAAGGTTTTAATTATCACGGCATTAACTGTCAGCGACTGCATGTCGAGCTTCAGTCCCAGCTCAGTCCATCGCTACCTGATGACTCCAAACAAGGACGAGACCAGCAGTGGAGTGCAGTAGTGGGAGGAAGCAATAGCGAAACCCTGCGAATCCGACACAGTCCCAGGTATTGGAATGGCATAGGTCAACGTGAAGGTAAATGTTGGCCTCAGTTGTGATTGCGTGTCCAAAGCTTGGCACGCACAGCACGTACTCAAAATCCCAGCAAACAAGCAACAACAAAACAGAGGCTGTTGTTAGATATCACTTGCCACATTGTAAAACAACGAACTGAGCAATGATGGAGGATGGCGTTTGCAAACTTAGTTAGTAATATCACTGATGCAAAGCGAGCAACTAGGATGAATATTAAGGGCCATAGATATGCGAGTTCGGATAACGGGGGTCAAACTCCATAAAGATGGGTAGCGCACTACAATACCCTGGTTTCGAAAGCAGACTTAACGGATGGGCCTTGCAGGCTCCTTTTGTAGCTGTGAATTACATTAGTAGTCTTCTGGAAGTATGAGTCGGCTAGTCTTGAACACTTGGGATTTTCCGCACTCCGCTCATGAAAGCTGATGACACTCGTTGAGACAAACTTTACAGCTCCCTGTTCTGCCACAGCTAGTAAGATGACTGAAACAGCCAAATGCTTATAGACGGTCTTCGCAGAGCTTAACTGCACTAGTAAGCACCTACCAACGCGGAAAAAAGACTATAGGGACGCATACACCTATACAAAACCAAGAGACAGGTCTACCCCGTCGAGAAATAAACCGTTTATGTATTCGTTTATGTCATTTTAGACGAATATGTCCGATGTAGCTGTAAATGGTCGTAAACCAAAAATGCGGTTATCACGGTTTGGGTCTAATGGAGACACTGAAAGGGTATTTCCATGTTTAACCAGTCACTAAGTAGAAAAACGTAGCTGTTATATCGCTATAAGTAGTACCGTACTTAGTACACCCCAAGTAGTGTAAGGTTTTCTATTCATGCATTTACACACGTCCTAGTTGGGTAGAACAACATACATGTCTGGCAGTGCTCGGTTTCAAAATAGTTTTAATACAAAGGGATTACTGATAAGGGGTATTAGCAAGTACAGAGACCTAAACATCGCACAAAGATGGGGCAAATCTTGATGATGAGGTAACCAATATTGTGACATCGCGGAGTTGCAATTTTTGACTACACATTTTATGCTTCGTGCATTTAGCAGATATCTACATTAAATAAATAAATAAATGACTTTGTATATTTACAGACAGACGGTACACGGCCCCACAAGAAGGATGATAATGTGACAGCATTTTATCTTGCTGGAAGACAACTGTCATTTAACACACAACAGAATTGTTGCACACACTTCCTATGACGTCATTCTTATAAGCTTAAGTAGCAATGCGTAGCATAGCCGTAGCGTTGAACCTCATGAAATTACTGATGCGACGTGACCTACGAGATCGGTAGGAATATTAAAGAATCCAGTGCAAAACACGAAATCTGGCAAAGAACCTGTTCAGCGAACCGTTACCCATGGTGACTGCATCATCCTGTAGTCCGAATTTAACGTTCAAATCCGTGCGGATTCAGTTACTTAATTATCCATTGTCACAAGGCGATTAGCGACTTGGTCCTCAACAAGCAGAAGTGTGCCTCAGGATTTTCTGCGAAATGCAGCACATTTCAGTCGTCTACCAGTTTGGCCAATTTTCGCCCACCGTCCTGCTTATACCTACCCCCCAGTAATGCACGGGGTCTTAAGGACGTTTCCCCCATCTTTTAGAGCCATGTTGCTCCACTCAGCATGCGCAAATGTAACGAAAATTGTTGTGGCCGCTGAAGAAGATTAAACGAGGTCTGACAGGTGCATCGGAGAGTGCAAATGGGTTAGTATTTATTTCGACAAATTGATTTGAAACTGATTAACCAAACTGCCATCATTAGGTTGCGCATTCTGTAATATGTCCGAAGCATGCAGGCAGTACGATGTACTACGGCAGGTATCTGACTTAAAACCTCCACAACCCGGGTTCGAGTTCCCGTTCTTGATGGACTTGACCACCAGTGCAGTCGTTTGCATTTGAGCGGCTGCGATGCTTCAGCATAACGTACTGGTCTAGCGCTAATGGCCTATACAACAACCGTGGATGAGTTATGATAGAAAACTGTGCTTCAGCTAATCACTTGAAATCTAGAAACAGAAAATCGTATCTCAAGTCTTATAATGTCTAGAGATAACGGCAATGCAGTTAAAACAACTTGCAAGCTCATTCCACAAGAATTGCATTCGATTTGACAAGTTGCGCTTGATAAAACAGAATGCTGTCATGATACGCCCGAGCTTACGAATTTGTTGCCTTCCAATGTAACACACGAGTTCGCTAGGTAATTATTTAGGAGGCAGCAGTGGACGGCCGTAGTTGATCTCGCGGATTGTACCTCCCCTGACCACAAGCATGAAGAGAATGCGAAGTATAAACCTTATTTAAGTAACTGACACCAGACTATGCTCTGGTTATAGTGTGTAGCACTCACTGATCCGCTTATATATACTTATCCCTTCCGAACCTTTCTCTAATTCTAACTCACTATGCATAACGATATGGTGTATTAGTCAAAGTGCTTGAGTACGGGTACTTGAAGCGAACTCGTTTGCTAGATGAAAGTACTATGAAGATCATTAAAAGGTCGTTCTAGCTTACTCGTTGTTTGACTGGATTGCGACGCGCATGCACTGCTACTACGACGACTGGCTTCTGATAAGTACTAACGGCGTGAGGAAAAGACTCAAACTACTGCATAAGTACCCCTTTCTGCTTCATCTGTCTAAATTCTAAAGCATTCAACTCAAATGTCAACTACAATATGTCTGTAAATAATGATCATACTGATCACGAATGATGACCACATATTCTTAAACAGTTCAATATCAGTCTTTGAGAAGCTACCATTCCCCCAGATTTTCAAGCGCACCCAAGCAGACGATGTATATCAGTTTGGCTATATAGCCAAACGTTCCACACTGGCTGCTTTGTACATTCAGGATCATCTGCAGACGACAAATGCAGAGCAGTGCATCTGCTGACGCTTTCGGGAGCGTCACCAGATCACTCCCGCTCAACTAGCTGCTCATGAGTGGGATTCATACTAATTTCTGCAGCGTGATTACACAGTGCTTCTCAAACGGCACATGCTTCACCCAGCTTAACCGAACAAACTCCTATACACTTTGCTCTTATCGTGGTGTTTTACA